TATCATGAGTGTTTTTTAATATTATTCATGACAAATATATTAAATGGAAATATTTAAATACAATGTACGTGTATTATGCATTACGCGTAAATGTATTAAAATAGGGAAATTAATACTGGGATTATTTGAAATCGTTGAGTATATTGCTTATCAGAAAAATATGTATTCAAATCAATCATTGTTTTAAAATTTCCTTTAAATTTATTGTATGTAGTTATAAATACTCTGTACAAATTCTTTCTTCTTTGGATGTTCAATTTAATAATATTTATAATAAAAATTACGTAAAATTCAACCAAAAAATACAAAGAGGTATTATGTTCACAAAAGAAATTAAAATATATAAACCAAAGAACAGTGAACATGTGGAAAAAAAAATTGTTGCAGATGCAACATATAATTTTTTTTAATACATATAAAACTATATTTTATTATGATAGAAATACATCAGTGCTAATTATTTAGTTATTTTTGTGTTATTTATGTAATTCAAAATCATAATTAATTTGCATATTTATATGTTACCATGGTTATAATTCTATAGCAATTCTTTTTATAAATATATTTTTACACGTTTGGTATATGAAACATTGTTTCAAATTTTTAAGATATATTAGACAAAAGTCATTTTTTAATTTTATGATAATATACTATGGTAATATTAAAAGCATCCAATTAAATCCCAAAATTATTTTAGTTAAAAGAACATCATTTATTTCCTATCAATGTATACTATGTAATCTGTACTAATAAATCAATTCAAACAATTTATTTTTATTGATCAATATCATAATATTTAAACTAGTAGTATATTATGAAATTTAATGTTGTATATATTATAGTTATATTTTTATTTTTTTTAAATATAAATATTATATCATGAATTTAAACGCTGTAGAACATAATTAATTTATTTATTATTTTCATTCCATTGTGCATATAATACAAAATGATGAATACAATTGCTAACTAGATCATTTGTATCGCAAATTTTTGCATTATTTTATGTCTTATTAATAGTTATTATTAGTGTTTTACATAATTTGGATAATTTTATAATAAAAATTTTAAAGTATGAATTTATATACATACATTCTTGTTAGGTTAAATAAATTGAAAAAAAAAATATTTACCATATTTTTATTGTTATTCTTATATTTATATTTTAATTATATTTAATTTCAGGGAATAAGATATAAAATTAAAGTATGCTTTATTAAAATAAGTAGTATTTTTATTGAAACATCTGTAATATCAGCAATTAAAATTAAAATGGAAAAATGTCTCACAAAACAAATATAAAAATATACTAATAATAACAAAACAATAATCTCGTACAAAATTTATGTAATAAAAATGTATTTTACTTCTTTCGTACCTTTGTATTTTCCAAATAGATAAATACAATATTTATTAATTTGAATAATTATGATAAATAAATTCTTAATATAATTATAATAATTTATGCTGCTTACTTTTTAAGTGCTTTAACACTGTTTTATTTATTCATGTATCACATGAGGAATAGTAATTCTAGTTACAAAGTTTATATCATCATAGAGATAAAGAACATATAATTACTTTATATATATAAATAAATAAATAAATAATTGAATATTATTGTAACTTAATTAATTCAAATAAAACGAATGTAATTAAAAATAACTGTACACTGTATAATATGACTTTCACTTTCATTTTTATTTTAATATATATGATATGAAACATTTATTCATAATTTTTAAATAATTTATACCAAATTTCAAAATTATATAAAAAGTACTTAAAAATAAACGTGAAATATTTAGTTGATTTATTTGTATTTTCTATTTTTTTCATTGTTTCTTTTTCTTAATTAATTATTTTAATTTTTTCTATATCTATATATAAATCATTTTGAAATTTGTTACTTAGTAATTTAGTAATTTATACTATTTAAAACAAATAACGTATATCGATTTAATGATCTTATATATTAAAAAGAAAAAAAACACGAACTAGTTATAGAGCATTATAAATATTATTTATTTAAAACTCCATTAAATAGGCTCTTTGCTATTAAGTGTAAAGTATTCGTAATTTTAAGGCGACCTCAGAATATTATTTCGGAGAATTTTTTTATTAAATTTATAAAAACAATTCATAAACTATTATTTTTAATATTAGTGCCGAAAAATACATCACACTTTATATTTCAATTTAAATTTGTTGGGTAAAACGAAGTTTTTAATATCATAAATCAAAAGAGACGAGAATGAGAAGAATCAAAGAGAGAGAGAGAGAGAGAGAGAGAGAGAGAGAGAAAAGCAAATTTTGAGTGTCATTAAATTAAGAAACAATCGTGTTGGATCAATTTATTTCTCTCTTTCTCCCTTTCATTCCCTTTTTATTGTTCTACTTCAAGCTTGCGATATTTTTAATAAAATATTCAATAGCTCAAAAGTTACATAAGCTTATAATGTGTAAAATAAATTCTTCAATCTTTGCTTACACAAATTAATTAAACATAAGATCTAAACAGATGTTTAGATATTGCTTAAAAAATAAAAATTAGTCTTAAATCTGGATATTTTTTGCAGGTGCAGTTTCTGAAAGTAATCAAAAGACAAAATTTTTTATATTCTTTGTCGAAAATATTGTCATCTTCTATATATAAATAAATTAACAACGACACGAAAAGTTTTTTCACAAAAAGCTACGTGTTTTTTATTTAACCCATACAGCAATATAGAAACGATATAAAATAAAGAAAATAAATAAAAAATAAAGCTCAATTTTTGTGAATTACATATCTATATATATTTTTATTAATGTTTAATCAAACGAACATTTAATTTTATACACCTTTTTCATCATTAAGATAAAATATAATCATAGACTTTATTTTCTCAGCATTTCAAAACAACCTTTATATCTTTCATAAAACGAATGCAATACAGTTAAAATATAATACAATTATTAATAAAAATAAATGTACAAAAAAGCATCATATTCATTAATAAAGGATCATAGTACTTAAAGTATGTATCCATATAATATCTGCTTTGCTAAAAGATATTGTTAAGCAAATGACAACATATCAGTTATCAACAAATTTCGTATTCGATATTACGAAACTATCTAGAATTTTGCATAACCTTATGAGGCTAGTAATAAAAATAAATCTCTTCATATAATTTTCAAATGGCAAAAAACGATTCCTATGCTCGTTTTTTACTTTCTTTTTATTTATTCTATAAATATTATAGTTTGATAAATTAATTTATTTGAAATAAAGCAATGAATAAATAATTTATTATTAAAGTGAATAGACTACTTTGTAGTCTACTAGACTAATTATTGAATGATCATAAAAAATAGGATTTTTATGGTCAAGATTTAATTATTATTAATTTAAAGAGTTTTGACTCTGAATTCTCATAATAAGAAAATAGGAAATCATTTTGTAACAAGTTCAAAGATAGATTTTTTTAATAATCTTAAATTCAAATATAAATTGCAGTACTTCCAGATAATATATTTCTTCATAAATGTTGTAATTGCTTAATTAATTAATAAAAAACAGTTATAATAATTTTTTCATTTGCCATTATTAAAAAAAAAAAAAATTTTATATAATAAAACCGAATAATCTATTATTATCTATTATTATCTTAAATAAATTTAAACGAATTTCATAAATAGAATGTTAATCATGAAATTAATAATGGTTTTAATTTTATTCTAGATGTTTTTCTTTTATCTATTATTTAAAATGTATTGATTCAATTAATAATATAAAGTAAATGTTTTTAAATTAAATAATCTCCGTTCATATGAAAATATTTTACGTACTGTAACGAATATTGGATTAAATGCACAGAGACGAAAATGGCGCACTTCAGAAGTCGCTAAATTTTCTAATTCGATTAATAGATTAATCGTCAAATTTTCCATTGTCCGATATAATATGTTTTTTATTCTCTTTTTATACTAATTAATTTTATGGAATTATTAATTATTATTTTATAGTTATTTAATTTATAAATTCTATAAGGTATACCAAAAAAATTAAAAAGAAGATTTTTTTCAATAATTGCACATATTAATTTAAAACAATATTATTAAAATTTTTAAATATTTCGATTATAAATAGGCTATTATAAATGGCTAAGATAACAAATTTCAAATCAAATTATGATTAATACAATAATCTAATGAAACGATAAGTCTAATGAATAATATATATTTACCGAAAAACATTTTTTATGATATTTAGATGCAATGTCTTTGATATATTATATTATAATTTCTATTGATTTAAGAATTTGATAAATGAAAAAGTACTTTTCAATTAATAAATAAAATTAATATCTATTAAATTCAATCGAACTGATTATTTAAGACTGTTCTCATATTAATATATATGTATCACAATTGATTTTTAATTAAAAAGTATTTTAGTTGGTACGATAAAATATTTACTTTAAGTAAATAAGATGGAATGTTTTTTATATAACTAATCCTTGTTAATTAATTATTAAAAATAATTATTGAATTAATTAAAAAACATTTAATGAAGCCTAAGTTATACCATAAGATATAATTTTTTTAATTTTTGTCATAGAACTAAGGGAATATTTTGAATAACTGTGTAATGGAGAAGTTGTGCTTCTAATATTGCAAAAAATTGCTGTTAACAATGATAGAATTTGGACGTTTCCTTTTTTTTTAAATTTTCACATGGAATTTTTTTTAAGTATACTGATTATGTCTATATTATTTGCATTATCGTACTCCCTTCTACCCCTCTGATTCCTTTCTTTCTTCCCCACATTAAATTCATAAGGTATTTAAGGTAATAAAATTAAGTTACTTGTGTCGTACTGCACACTCACTGAAACTCTTATATTTCATTGTCTTTGCAGTTTTCGACTTGTTCTTTTTTTAATCGTAAGTATTTAGTAGTCATCATATCATTATGTTAAAGCGAGTAAAAAGGAAAAACAGTAGGAGGGAGAGAGAGTACGCACGAGAATGGTGTAATGAGATAAAGATGAAGCGCGCGTATATAAGTACACGTATAGATATGACGTAGAAAAGAAAGAAGGAACGAGAGAACGATGAAGACAAAGTAGCTTGAAAGTGCTCAACTGTAGCCGAATTGCACCTTCCTGCACTGACAGAGCCACTTAATGATGCGAGCGTTCCTTTCAACAATGCTCGGTTGATCGTTGCTTTTCTGACTACCACCGGGACACTCGTCATTGTTTGTATTTCCAGCACTGCAGTTAGGCCACGCAGTGCCCTGGCCGTTAGGTGTCCAGCTCAGGTAGAGCCCTAGTGCTGATTCCACGGAGCTCACGCTATCAAAGAAGACGGGCGAACTCGCCTTGGAGGAGCTCTTGGTGATGTGTTGGTAGTTATCCTGCTCGAGGCCCAAACGATCAAAGAATGACTCGAGTTGTGTAATGGAGCGGGGCGGTTGGGCCGGGAGCTTTTGAGCACGAGTACCGCCATCCTGCCTCCAATAGCGTTCACTAATATCTGATTTGGAGCGTAAGATGGGACGTCCTCGACCCTCCTTCCAGCCGTCCGAGAATCTGTCGGACAATTGCCATTATTTATTGTTGATATTGAGATACAATAAATCTTGTTTAATGATTTGTTTTACAAAGCTTTTTTAATATAATGTTATTGATAAATATATATATTTATGCTTTTTTCGAATGAATTATCAGAACTATTGAATAGTGTAAATTCAATCTTCTTTTGACGTTCCGAATGTAAAAACTTAATAATGTAAATAAATTGCTTATTACAAAATGGACGGAATTATTAAAACATATATAATTCGGATTACAAATGAAAAGCGAGAAGAAATTTAAATACAGTTTTGAATATAACCTAGAATTGCAAGTAGGACTGTAATCAGTCTGACTGTTGCTGCTATCAGTTTCGGGACTGTAATTTCTAACGACAGTGGCTGGAGTCCTATTGTTATATCTGTTCCTTTTTCTCGATTTGTCCTTCTCGGTTGAATATTGCGCTGATGCACCGCTATCACGTCGAACACGACTCCAGCAATCCTAAGGAAAAGTGTCATAAGTATATTGATTTTTTATTATTTAACTTGATAAACTAATAATGTCGACTCATATCATTGAGTGCTGCTTCTACTAGCTCATTTACATATAACCAGATTATTTTGTCAAATTCAATTTTACATTCTACATGCTTACGTTTTTATACTTTTTAATCAAAATAATGTATCAGTGAATATTATTGAAAAGTAACAAACTTTTTCGTAAATGAATATACTTAAAAATAAGAAATTCTCTTTTCTCGCTTTCCTTAAGTAAAAATATTTTTGTATTAGTCTAAATATTATTTTAAATGATGAACGATTAATTGTAAAATTATTTCAAGTCAAATAATGCATAGACTGCACATCAACGACAATAGTAAGCTTAAATAATAAATAACTACTAAAATAATATCCCTATATTTATGATTAATTTTTAACAAAAGAAAAATATTCATTTATTTAATGTTTTAATATTCAATTTTCAAACAAATACTCATTAAATTGCGCTATCACATTACAATTAATACACATGCGCACGCCCGCACACACTCACTGTATGTATACTCGTATGTATATTTACAATTTCAATATTAACATAAATTAAAATTTTATTATTTATCTGTGGATGCAAATTATACAGAATATATATTTGAAAGGCAATGTATTGATGTATTCACTATAATGGCTGCTGAAATAAATGGAAATTTTTAGAGTCGAAGAATTATAATTTGAACTTTTTAAAGTTTTTAAACAAGTAATTTATAAAATTTGTTAATTTAATGCCATTTATCATTTTTATAATAACGAAATCATCATTAGAAAAACGAAAATACAATAGATATGTTTTTAAGGCCATATTTACATATAAGATAGATTTGAAATTCATTTAAATCGAAAATTTAAATATTATTTATTCTATTATTAATCTTATGTAAAATGTAATCGTCAATATGTAAAAAATATAATAGATTGTTAAACTACATGATTATAATTTCATCTTTTTTTTAATAGATTTAGTAATAGTTAGTTTGTAGAATATATAGTTAGTGCTTTAGATGTTGGATTATAATTGTATAAATATATGTGTACAAGTGTATAAAATTGCATGACCACATTATTGCTTCAATGTTACCGAGATCATATAAGGTTTACTTTTTGTGTGTGTAATAGGTATGATAATATAATAAAACTTTCTCTATTTCCCTGTTTCTATCGATATTACGCCCTACTTTTTCTTTCATCGAATTCTCGAAACTTCTAGATTTTTCTTTCTACGCCTCATGTAAGATTCCAGTGCAGCAACGACGATGCTTTGTTGCCAGCTAAGTGAGCTAACACGTGGATATATAAGGCAAGTACGCGGCGTGCCTCGCTCTCTTGCTAAATAGCGCTCTTGCTAAACGGGTCTCTTGCCGAACTACCCTTGCTGAAGCTACCTCTTACTGAACTGCGCTTGCGACTAACATCTTTCCGTGACCCGACTGCAGTGAATCGATCTAACCATTTACCAGTGGAAGCCATGGCACGGGTCTCGGTCTGCCCAGCAGGACCGCCATGGAACGATCGGTATTTTCAGCAGAGCCTCCACGGAACGATCAAGCCTTCGTGCGCGTATTCAAAAGTCTTAAAAGCTCATTGTAATTCTACCTCGCGCTCACTTAACTGTTATTACGGCCAGTGTTTTAGTATATACTGTGACGATGACACGTGGCTACATATTCGGCAGCCTACTTAAAAATATACGTGCATAATTAAAAAGAAATCAGCAGATTAGGTAATGATTTCACAGTGAAGCCAATTGGAATAGTAATCAAAAGGGACACATCAGCTACGCAGTAAATCAACGCACCTTGTCGACAGTTTACAAGGTACATCTCTTTATATTATCAAATACGCTAGTCACACACGCGCAAACAGTGCGCTCTCTCGAACTAACACTTCGAACACCGTACAGCACCTCAAACAGTCAACACAGATGAGGCAATACATCAATTACGTTATCAAGGCCAGACAACAATTTCTCGAATAATCGACTATAAATACATTTTCATCAAGTCCTTCAATTGTCATTCATGACTCTTACGTGTGACTAGTTCTTTCTACTGTTCCCATTATAATAAAAGACATAATTGATTACGAACCAATTTCCATCAAAATTTCTTACACTCTATCAAGTATAGTTATTCCATCTATCAAGCATACTTCATTTCAAATACCATCTTCTCATGCTCATTCATGAGCATGATCGACTATGCAGGCTAATGTTCACATGAGCATAAGCTCAACTTTCAAGATACACAGTCATATCCATAGAATCTACGATAATCAAGAACACAAGGAAACACCCTCATTACTACAATAGAATAATCTTTTATCTCAATAACAGTGCAATATTATTATAATATTTAACAAAATAATAAACATTGTTTTACTAAAATACATAATACATAATATTTTTCAGCCCTTTCACATATTATTTCGTTTAAGTTATCATAACGAGAGACTAATCCACTGAACTATTGAATTAGCAGTTCGAGCCATAAAATAAATCCTTAAAATCGAACAAATTTATATCGGAAATATATTTATTCTGCATTTAGTGGAATAAGCCAGATATAATTTAATTTTTATTTCAAAAATAATTATAAATATTAAATTGCACATGAATTATTCTTAGCGATTGTACTAATAAATATTTCGGTTTAGATATTGCAGTGTGAAAACATTTACCTGTATTTTCGGGGATGGATCACTCTTGTGAGTACAATGTCCAGATGAACTACCCGAATCCCTTGCCGTAGCTCCATGGCTGAGTTTGCTCGAGCTCATGGACAAGTGGGTCCTGTCACCCGATGACAGGATGCTACTCGTATCACCACCCACCGAGCCCATCGAAGGTTTTATATGTCGCGAACTGTAATAATTTTTATTAGAAAATAATCTTCAAGGGGTTAAGAATTATCTCGAAGAATCGGTAGGTAATATACACCCCCTTATGATAATCGTGTGTTCTATGAAATTTTCGAAGGTTTACACGATGTAGAATCTAAGGGACTCATTTCTTAATCGTTTCCTTTTAAATGATAAGAATGCTAAAATTTTCTATGTAGCACTACATTGTGACTTCATTGATACGAGACATACCCTTTGATTATGAATTTTTTCCGAATCATTTTAATATATAAAAATTGTCAATACTAATAATAGCAATTTACTTAATAGTAGCATCAAAATATTAAATGTATTTTCTTTCTTTCTACATTTTAACACTTTAAATATTTTATTTTGCTTATCTACTGGACAATTTGTGCATTGTGTTTAGATTATTTATGTAATAATTAGAAAATACAGTATTTTACCATAATTAAATTAAATAAATTTAATATTTTATTTTAATTATCCACAATGAGATTATAATATTGTTTAAAGTGAAATGATTTCGGATTTCGAAGATATTCTAGAGTTCGTATTATGGACTTCGGCAACTTTAACATACCTGCGGTAGTAGACGGAGTCCCTATTAAAGCTACCGTCGGAGTAGTCGGAGCCAGTTTCACAATCCAAGCAACCGGCATTTAATTGCACTTTCCTCGAGGCTTTGCTAGAGGTTCGCGGCGATAAGGAGGCCCATCTGCGTGTACTGGTGTGGAGATTCGGGAGGGACTTGTGGCATGAAACCGCAACCGCGGTCTCAATCGCCGAGGAGGATCGGCCACTAGCTGAGCATCTAGACCTCACCCCATGTGAGTGCGAGTTGCTGCGGCCAAACTTAAATCGTGGCTCCGCGCCCAGCGTTGATGGACATTGCTGCTGCCGCTACTCAAATGACCTTTGGTGTTAATTACTTATTATATGAATAAGCTTAATGTTTACTGGGATGGATAGTAGCTTTATCATTTCCTTTCTATTGCGCAAACCGAAGATACGTCATTTAATCGTTCTGCATTTTATTTTCCATCTAAGGTTAATGAAAAATTCCGTTCTTACTATTTCCGTTTGTAGTATTCGGCTTGGCTACACTTCGTTGCCCAAGGAAAAATTAATTTCTTTAGTTTCTTCATAAAGAAACGTGTAATTAATTGAGAATGGATTTTTGTCATAAAATCTACTTTATGATTCAACTTTATAATATCCACCACCAAATAGGGCAAAATAGCCAACACTAGAAGTTCATTACCGAAAAATGGAATTGTATAAATTTTAGTAATGGTATTAGGCAATCAGACAATTGTCTGACTATAATTGTCTATTCAAAAGTTCAATTTTTCAATGATAAGTTGTCAATACGAAAAAAATTTGAATTCACAGTTTAATTTAGTGTTTATTGCTACTCTTTGAATGTACGATTATTTTTATAATTTAACAATTTTTTAAAAATTACATACATTACTATATATTATTATGAAGTATTCTGAATTTTCAATACTTTGAAGTTGTCTAAATAAATTTAAAGTAATTTTTCTCTCAAATTTTCTTCATTTGATTATTTATTTTTCGAATATTTATTAATCAAATATTATGAATATAAATCATTCGATATACAAAAAGTACTATCTTATATTGTTTTCAGCTACCGATATACTCTTTTCGTGTAGTAGTAAGCTATAAATATTGCATCGCGTTTATATTTATCAAAAATTAATTAATATTATAAATACAAAACGAAAGATTATTATCTTTATTTTTGATAATTTTGTATTCAATGTCGTACATGTGGCGATTACAGCAGATATTGTCAGCCGTTGTGATAAAAGGATAGTTCATGATCTCTATGAACTCTCAAAAGTACATTCAATGTGGCATTGATATGCTGATGATGTACCCGAACGTTATCTTCATGCTGAAGGTAATGGAGGTAGTAAAATATTATCGGTATTGAAATATTATGAGCAACTTTTCTATATTTTATATTGAGCTACTCTTTCATTCTTTTCTTAACAGTAGAATTTTATTTTGTAGACTTGATAACGATGATGGAACAGGCACATGTTGAAAAATTTTTACGTTTTAAATTATGCACTTTTCAATAATAAATTAATAAAGACAAACGCTTTTTATTGTTCTGTTTAAATGTTAAGTTAAAAATATGTGTATTATATTTAAAATATAACTTATACAAATTTTAATTATAGTATTAATGATAATAACTGGAATTATTTTAAAACAGGACTCTTCTAAAATTTATACATTACTTTTACATTTTAAAATTGTAATGTGTTACAAATTTTAACTGATTATTAAGATAGATCATATTTTAATCAGAGAAAGCAACTTCGTATTTTTACTTAATAAAAGTTAAATAAGAGGTAAGAGATATTTTTAATTGATATGAGAAATTGGAATTTGAGTTTAAAGTACACTTTTCTGTTCCTCTGTGAACTAATTAGGAATTAAAGAAAAATATTTTTATTTCAAATTTTATCGTTTATGTTTAATTGATTTATTGTATGGTCTTTAAGTGGGAAATATTTTACATAATTGTACTTTTTATGTAATTTACATTAAATGTATATGTATTTAATAAAGTAAGGTTCATTAACTGTCTGTAAAGCAGTTATAATTCAGTCTAATAAGTTCTCGTGTTTTTATACATCATAATATAAAATAATTCTTTAATATTATAACATTCTACAAAGCCTTTTGCTCATTTCTAATTTTCCGTATATTAAAGAACATACTTCACACGTTGCTTGTTTGAAAATGATTCCATTTCAATGTTAATTTATTAAAATATGATTAAATACCATTGCGATATTAGTAATAGGAGATATTAGCGCAATATTATTATTGGTGCTATACACTATAAGAAAGCTAAATATTTATTTGATTATGAGAAGAAACAAAAAAATAACCCGTAAATGCTGATAAATTATAAGATATAAAAAAGTAAACGAATTATGGTAATTAATGATGTATAAAATTTATCATAAAGTGTCATACTAAGCTTGATATGGTAGAAGAGCTGAGCGAAGGTTTCGATTGTGCCGGCTCGTAATAGACAGTCGCTTATAAAATGATTGGCAAGAATCAAATAAAGATGAATATATCTCACCGTGAAATCGTCTTCCTTGCATCCGGGTAATATGATGCCTCCAGGCGAGTACCGAAACTTCTCCCAAATCGGTTGACTCGGACTAGCGTTGTTATTAGTCATCTGGGGTGTGGTATATTCCGAGGGTATCGGCAATCCGGGCATTTCTGGTTCCGCGAAAAAGACGTTTTCTTTACTGTCAATGTTAAGGAGTCTGCGCAACTTCGCCTGAAGTTGCTCAGCGCCTGATATACCACTGACATTGGATCCCAATGCCGAACGCCGCTGTGGAAGTGATACAAGCCGCGGACTCTTTGGCGGCAGCGCTGGTGGCAGTGTGCGTTGGGGACTCAAAATTCGCTCCTCTTTGTTTGTATTTTTATGTTTATTCGCCATGTCGTTTATGGAAGCATACTCTCACCGGTTGCTCGCCCTTAAGCGGGGATTTTTGCCAGGTGCCGTTAAGCCAATTTATTCAGTCACGCTTTGAAATATTCTCAATTTTTAATACTTCGGTATAAGCACTTTGCAGTCATAGTTATTAATGACAGGAACAAAAATTTTACATCTGTGATACTTAACCAATCAAATATTGAAATGGCTGTTAAACTGATGGTATCTTTACTTTCTTTATAATTTTAAAAGTTTCAAGTTATAGACTGTTTTTTATTATTAATCAGCCAATGAAACGAGATAGTCAAAGAAAAAAAATTAAAATATTAATTATCTCTTTACCTAGAAAATAAAATTATATCTCATAATGCATTTTTTTTATTTATTCCCTCATTCAATAGATAATAGCGAGAAATTAAAGTAATTCTATCATATTTTGAGTACTTTAATTTTTAAAATGTTTTCGTGCATTAAAATAAAAACATTTATAAATATTATTAGTTTTAAAAAAATAGTACTGGTACAATTTTACTAAAATTAATTTTATTAATAAAAATACCGATTCTTCTAACTTTTTAATATTAAATATTCCCATCTATTATAAACTGTATTATGAATCTATTATGTATAAATATATTATGAATTGTATTAAATATAGTTCTATAATTAATATATATATATATATATATATATATATAATTCTAACTGCGTAATAAAAAATTAAATGAAAACAATTTATGAAGATAATATGTTTTCCACATGATAAAATAATATGGTATTAGTATATAATACCATATTTTTAATAAGTATAAAAGATTATAATTTAACATCGTTTAACATCAATTAATGTTCAACATTGCGATTTGGAACAATAGCAATTAAAAGTTTTGTTAAATTCTAAGTTTTAAGATAACAAATGTAAAAACAAAATTAATAAATCAATCCTATTAGAATATACTTTACGGAAGTATACTTCAATCAGTTGGATTGTGATTTTAATCTTTTTAAAATTTTGGTAACTAAGTGTGGTAATAAATAAGTTCTTTGTTTAATTTACATTTATAAAATAATATTATGTATATATCAATATCAACATATACTCATAAGAATATTTTAATTATTTTTCTTATATTATATTATATTTTCTTATATTTAATTATTTTTTAATCTCTATAATTGATTTTCAATACACTACTAAAAGAAAATACAAATTATAAAATGTTATACGCAGGTTAACTAATTTACTTTTTATTATAAGTACTAGAAAAGTTTATACTGTGTACATGATTTGTAAAATATGTCAATATAATTCTAATTTAATATTTATTACAAAATTTCATTATATATTTGTTTGTATAAGACTATTTTATTAAGTATCACAGAATTATAGTAACGCTCATTGAAATAAGTTAATGCAAAGAGCATTAGATTCACTCTGTTAACAATGATGTAGTTACTATTAAGATATGAAATTGCATTATTCAATAATTTACAATACTGTAACAAAGTAAAAATACCATCATTCGAGGTAAATTCTAATTTCACTTCGGTATGTTCTTACTTGAGGCAGCAGAATATATTACAAATAAAGAATATGTTCCTGTTTCAAAAGAAAATATGCCTTATTTATTGTCAAACTAAAAATTTATTTAAAATTACAACGTCCGAATTATAACTTTTTGTTTCGAATAATATAAAACAGGATTATTTATTAGACCAGCATTACTTTCATTCTTAATAAATCTTTGGAGAACCATTTGCATACTTAAGCGCATAGACGAGCAGTCGGCGTTCACTGGGTCAGAGTACTTACGCCTGTCACAGTCTGCAGTCCAGCAACAAGGTTGCTGTTGCTGTAGTACAGGACATCCGTGGGACGTTCCGCATTTTCGCAGAAGTCGAGGTGGCGCTCCAGGTACCGTCACCTGAGATACCTGTAGGTGCCCGCTGTTTTTCAGTTCTTGCTTCCGATCTAGCACTGTCTCACTTTTTACATAAAATGCCTTTGACTCCTGTAGCAACTCGACTGCGCTTTTGCGCTTGCCTGGGCAATCATTTCAAAAGTGAAAATTATTACTTCGAAATCGAGTATTATTTTTAATTTTATCTTATACATGATAAAAGTTAAAGTTACGAGTTATATTGTTTTTCAATATTAAAATAAGGTGGAAAATCACGAATAATTTCTCTAAACTGTTGAACATTAAATAAAAAACAATGAAACTTTTGATCAAAATGTGATAAACGTAAAGTGTTTTAAATAAAAATAGTAAATTTTAATACTGTTAGGAAATTAATTATTATTCAATACTGAAATCAGAAATTTCTATTCAAGAGTTTTATATACATATGATTAGGCTCAGGATTTAAATTATTTTTAACAAATTTTTTTAATCAAAGTGGTTATCATTCCATAAAGACAATACATCTCAAATATGTAGCGTTAAATTTCTCCGTTGCAAAATAACACCTTTTGTAAATTTCAATACATATTTTATGCAATACACACTTTACTTAAATAGAAATGTTAATTTCTAAAATTTCTTTCATTACAAATTATTATGTTTATTGTAAATAAAATGATAGTCGGTCAAATTAAAAATGAATTTTAATTAATTTTATTTTATTATAATACGTGTAATGAAGTTACACACTGTACAAATTTAAAGCCCTTCCACATGTGTCCTTTCCTAAGCATCGCTAAGGCGAGAGACTAATAAACTGAACTATTGAATTTGGCAGTTCGAGCCAGTCATTAAACCTTTCGAGCACATTTATTTATTTATTTCTTTTATATATAGTATATTCGACATAGACGGAAAAGAATTTATATTGAAAACAAGTACAGATCTCAAGTCGATAATAAAGTTAATATCCTGCATAATATTTGTTTAATGATAAAATTTTAAAATCACTTATCAAATCGTGATTTTCTAAAATATATAAATCTTTTAATTAAAATATTAATGAAAAAATCTTAATATTTATGTTAAAAAAATTTTAATTACTTACATTTTCTGATAGATTTTTAATTTAAATTGATAGAGCGGAAAGATTTTGGAATCTTCGCAAACAAAATTGTATTGTATAATATAGGATTTACGTGTAAAATCCAACAATGAAATTAACGTAATAATATGCGAATAGATTTATAGAAAATTCTCAATCGCTTCATAAGTATGGATTTATTCAACAGTTTTTAAGCTATTAGCTGATTTTCATCTAATTTGAATGTAAACTTTTTAAAATTAAGCTTAATAAATAAAGTTTTAAAAAATACAAATAAAAATATTTTAAAACAATTTGTAGTAAATAAGATAAAATACTATTGATTCTTAAAAATGCTTTATTGACAGATTTTTATAAGAATATTAGGAGAATTTGGATAAATGTTTGTATATTTAAAATATGTATTTCACATAAGAAAATATCATGCGAAATCATACAAAATATATTGTTAATTATTGTACCTATTGTAAATACGCTCGTTATATAATATATGATTCGAATAATTACTCTTTACAATAATTATGAAATTTTTTTTAAATCAATTCTGATTATAGTTTATTGCTCTTTTACAGATATACTTTTACAGAAATAAATGTAATTTTTTTACTCTGGGAATGTTTACAGAATTAAACACTAATATTTTTTATAAAACGAGTTATTTTTGGTAAAATGTGTTTATATTTGAAGATAAATATTCATGATAAATCTATTTCACAAAAAACTAATAAAGTTTCTATTATACATGTGCGTCTCAGCAACAGCATTTTAGATACACTTAGTATAATATAAAAACTTTTTTGTTTATATTAATTCGAAATATTACGATATAATACGATAGTATTTAGATTTCATACTTTGTCTGGCAAATAACATTTATCAAAGATGATTATAAATATAATCGGTTTATAGTTATATTAACGCTAAAATGTAATTAAGTTATATTTAATTTTTTATTATTTTTTAGTAATTTTATTTTGTTAAAAATTTTCATTTTTCATTAATGAAATAAGAAATAATAGTTTTTTTTATAATCTGAATATTATACATATATATTGTCGTTATATAAGTTGTAAAATATATTTGATTTTATAATACAAATATATGACTATATGAAAGTTCATGAAAACAATGAAATCTATTTAAAAGTAATTTTTTTATAAAAAAAATAGGAAGAAATAAATGTTGGTTATCGAAATTAGTTAAATATAATACGTTATTTACATAAAATTAAATTGAAAATAAATATCTAATACTATAAAAAGTTTAGTTTGTTTCCAGTCATTCTTTATTATGCTCTAATATAAATCTAAAAGTGGAAATCAACGTCGATAGTCATCATTTATATTTTAAAATAAACTATTAATATATGTTCTAATTCATGTAAGACAATGATCTTAAGCATTAATATATATAAGAATGAAAAAGAAAAAATCACACTAGTTATGCAATGAAATTAAAAAATTCGTTAAAAAAAATTTTAATTATCAGGTCGTATCCCAGTTCAGTATTTGTGTATAAACGTACATAGATGCTCTCCTTCTTTAACCGCCTCTACAAAAATTCATGACTTGTCGTTGGTGTGACTTTTACCCCTCTAATGTCTTAGCATTGTCTGAATCTAAATTTCGAGATTATCATATACGACCTCATAGATTTTTTAACTTTTATGACTGACTTTACATCAGTTTACATCAGTATCTCTTTATATTAAAGACATATATACTTTTGGCTTATTACATAAATAATATATGTACAAACGCCTTACCCTCGCAAATATACAATCATGATTGTATCATGCAAAAAAAAGTGAAATACCATATATTTTATAGTACTACTTCTATAATGTAAAGGGAGGGAAGAAAGTACAAGCCCAAAATTAAAAGATGAAAACTATATGGGTATTACGTTTCACACTAAAAGCAGAATATTATATGTATTTGTATATAATATATCAAAAATTTAGTTTATTGTACTCTTAAAAAGATGTATATATATATATTTAATTTAAAGCAATTAATTCACATTCTCATATATTTTAAGATACATTTTGTAAATGATATTTTTGCCATTACATTTGGGTTGTAATCAATTGTGTCAACAATGTACCTCACCGTTTCCCAAAGATATTAGAGCCACACCTATATATGTAGAGTTATTTCATTTTACATATTTAATTTTATAATATTCAAATATAAATGAAAGATTTTAGAATAAATAATATTATTTAAAATTAAATACTGTTGATAAATATATATTTACGACAGTGAGTCGTTAATTCTTTCACTTATTAAAAGATCAAATTATTTAATGTTTTTTAGTTTAGTGTTTTTTTAATTTAGTAATTTCTTTTTTTGAAGCTCGTTTACTTGAAAAGAAAAAAAAATATTATAAATGAATGAATGATGATATTTAAATGAACGAATGATGACGTATGTTGTCGTTGTCATTTTTCTTGATTATCTGAAGCAAAGAGTCAAGATAGAACTTACATATATAAACCGAAATTAAAGATTTTATAATAGATTCTACTATGTTAATTTGAAATTTCGTGATTATATAGAAGATAAACATAACAATGCAAGCAGTCTCAATTTGAAATACATTTAAATATAAGGAGAGTCTAGCGTTTCCAAATTACGAAATTAGTTACTGCTATTAAGTGCTTGAGCATTTAGTACTCGGTGCTTGGTATCAAATTAATCGACGATAATTAAAAGTAAACATTGCCTACCGTCGTGAACACTGCCGTGATCGACATGGAGTCGATGATGACTGCGCACATAAGGTGGCGCAGGATGGGACAGTGATTGCTGCATCTCCCAGTAACCCCGACTTTGGGCGAAGCTCGGACTGCTGGTCCCTGACGAGGAAGAGTATCTTGACTGCTGGGAGGGCGAGGTTTGCTTGTAGGATAGTCTAGTCATGGCAGTCATCATTTTGTTAAGAAGTTGTGTGGCTCTCAACGTCCTCAAATGGACAGCATATTGGTACTTAATTTATTACGGTGTCGCTCCATCCCCAAAAACTCAGAGGCAGTTCTAGGCTCAAGCTGTGAACGGACACATAGACATTTAGCAATAGTCATATATAGTTTGATAGGAGAAAGAAATTCGCTATAACTCCCCTCCCCCATCTCTATGGAATTATTTGCAATTAGTTTGGGTACGAATTTTTATATTCTATTAATTTATATAAGCATTATTTATTGTTGAATTCAAGCTGAGTACTTAGACTCTTATAGATGTTCTTCATATGAATACAATAAAATTTTAGTAGGATCACGTCTCTCTTATCAGTAGTTCATAACCGTTTAAAGTAATAATAAATTCAATTTACGATTTCAAAATTTTATTTTTTATATAAATTAAATTTAATTTACTAGCATATTATCTATATTTTTTTACTAATATCCTTGCAATATATATTTATTAAATGCCACAAAATAGTTATAACGATATGGTACACGAAGCTATATAATTCCTTCTCGTAATACTTTAATAGCACAATATGCTTATTACAGCATTATATATAATAAAATTTCAAAAATTTAGATCAAATTTCTAGGATTCAATTATACAGTAAATAATCTAAATATCAATAACCATATTTATATTATTTTTAATAAAAAAAATTATGTATTATACTTACAAAGGAAAATGAATAAAAAATGAATAAATATGAAAATATAACAGATTTCGGATGATGACTTTCAAATAGAAGGTCTATATGAAATATTTATGAAGTTAATTTTATGTTAAAATTTAGTAAACATTAAAAATTAAATTAAAAATTTTGAAACATTAAATTGAAACGTGAATTTTGATGAACTAATCTTAACTGAAAATAATTAAATTATGTAATGTATGTGATATTTTCAGTTAAATTTATGAACTATTTTATTAAAAATTGTGATACGTTTTACTTAATATAGTTTTTTTCAATTTTATTAAATCTATTAACAAATGATTAATGAAGGAGCAAGCTGACGACGATTTTTGAGATTAATTTTGTGATTTTTAAAATATTAAAAAAATAGCTTACTGTTCATGTCATTTACATGTCACAAAGTGACCAATAGATATAGTAGACTTAATTTTTATGTTCAATATATGGGATTTAATTTTTCATGATAAGCATAGGATATAATGTTTTAAACAATTTTTATCTTTACTTTAGTATTAATTTGTTCAATTTTGTGTGATAATGATAAAATGACTTATGCAGAATCCATCATTTTATATTACACGAGGTCTTGTTAAACAGTTACACATTAGAAATTCGATATTCTCAATAATGTATCACGAGGATATTTGTAAAAGGAAAATCTAGTAAATATCTATATAAATTTTAAATATTTAAATGACAATTTTTATATTTCATTTTATAATGACAATTATATTAACAAGGCAGTACAAGATAATTCGATTAGTATTAAAATAGTCTTATCTAAAATGAGATGATTACATTATAGTCTCATGCAAAGATTTTTTATATTAAAATTAATTTAAAAAACATAAAATGATAAAATATTATAGAAAATAAATATAAGATATAGAAATATTATATTTATATTACGAGTGACAAATATTATTTCGATATTATCTCGAATATGAATTATTATCTGAATAGTATGGTATCATTAAAAATCATGTTTTAATATACTGATTAAATATATTTATATTTATATTTTTAAAGTAATGGTATCACTCCTCAAGTGTTATTTCCTTTGGTATGCAAGTCTTTTATTTTGTTACAGGTTAGTGATTTAATTATATTATATAATAATTTCATGTATGATAGACCCATTAACAATTTATTTTATTATGTTGTTGTACATTTATATTGTGATATTGTATTTGCTCATAATATAGATAGATTTTTTAACTGAATATTTCTTAAATGTTGTCTTAATTTTTTGCTCTTCATAAGCCGTTTTTATAATGATATTTAATAATGATCATTATAAAAAATAATGATCATTTTATAATTTTTTCTTTATTTAAAAACAAAAAAATTTAATTCATTTATAATGTATTGCATATATAATATATAAAGCAATTATTATAAGTTTACAAATTCTAATTTGTGCCAATGCATAATTATATTTATATAACTTTGTCTTTAATGCCACGGAAACTAAGTAGCACATTCTCGTAAAGTCCTCTAATTCCCAGACGCTGGTTTGACAACGGCTGTCTTCATAACGCAGCAGACGATACTACTTTTAACCTCTCTCTCCTTTAGTAGTTTTGATCCGTTCATCAACTCTTAATTAGTTATTTTAAACAGCTCGCTTGTTAGTATTCATTTTTTACTTTTGCCAATTTACACCTATAAATTCTACATCGAATGAAAATGTGTAGTTTCTTAAGGAGAGATGATTTTGTATCATAGTAATTGAGAAAAAATTGCTTCATTATCTTATAACAATTTAAAAATATGCATAACATTAATAATGAAATATTGATTACAATTTAATTTATGTTAATGCCTAACATCTATCTTAAATATCTAATAAATTCTATCATAAATCCAAACTTTTATCGACGAAGTAAAAAATAAATTCAATATTGCATCTCACAGTTACTTTCTATCAATATTAAAATATATAAATTAAAAATAGATTAAAATAAATTAATTAAATCAGATTAATTTTAATTTAAAGATGATTGAGGCACTATGAGAAAAAAGTTATACGAAAAAAGAATACACATCGATGAAATTAAATTGTACATACTTGATAAAGAAAAGCCTTTTGCGGTATCACATGTGGGCCAATTAACAGTTAAACACACTTGCATTCAATATCTCTGTTTCAAAGTGAAAATTGTAGTTATATATAACTGTATAATTCGAGTACGATTAATAAGGCTAACATTTCATGAATAGTAAAATATCTAATAAACGATCCTCTTATACAATTTCACTGTTTGCATTTATTCCATTTTCAATGTACACGTATGGAGGAAGGCTTGGGACATGAGCTCTTATAATGAGGTAGGAATATGCGTTTCTCAAAAATGACACTGGGAAAATCTATACACACAGTTCGACCTGTAATGAGTTGCCAGGTGAAAACGCGGAAAAGCCAGTATCCGCAGAAAGGGGCGTAGGCGCACGCCACGTTAAGATTAGGTCGTTGCACTCAGTTCTCCCACTCACTGGCCCCAACGACTCGCACGTAAGTTCGAGGCTCGAGTGATATAAAGATCTTCCTTATGCATCCATGACAATTAATTGAAATTGCTCAGGAGGTTGGAAAATTTTACCCTTAAAGAATATCAGGTGAGTTTCGAGAGTTTCATTTACATAATCCTGATTAAGCTTAATTCATTTAGTACTTAAAAAAAGACTTACTTCTATTATAAAAATCGAAGTTCATTACACAAATAAGAAAACTTTTTTAATTACTTACGCGTATTTTTCGATATGAAATCTTGAGCTTTTTATAAGTAAATTTAAGAATAAATTTTTGTTATTATAAAATGATATCAATAACATCGAAACTCTTGTAAATATTGTTATTAAGTTATTATATTTTTGTCAATAAAATAATGTTAAGGAGTCTAAAATTTAGCAAGCTGATTGATTCCCTTATGAGTTGATGTAAAATATAAATAAAAATATGCTGTTGTAACAAAAAACAAATATTATTTTCATATTCTATAATAGTATGTAGGTGATTAGCTAAATTTCTTACAGTGATTTAGGGTAATAAGTTTTCAAATTTAATTAATTATTAGTGACGATAACTACCATATTATTTATATAATTAGAATAATTGTCATTGATTCCTATGACAATGAATTGATTCAATAGCTGAATAATTTTTAATTATCATTTATAATATAACTATATGTATACAGAAATTATTTATAATTTTTCAGCAAGGTTTGTTAATTATAATTAAAATATATTAAATTTTGGATACCTTTCAAACATTTTTCAGTTTAATATTATATATATATATATATATATATACACACATATTCTAGAGAAATTAAAATAAATTGTATAATTTTTTATTATTTATACAAATTCGATTTTAAAAACTTTTATTTCATCACTTTATTTCCTGGTATTGTTAGCTATTGCCTTAAAATTATATTTACAACCATGATCGTTGACATAACTTTCAAATTTTCAGAATTTTAAATTAATTAAACTTTTTTCTTCTTTTATATTAATTTAATATATTAATTTAATATCTATAAAATTTATTTTATAGATGCTGATACTGCATATAAAATAAGTAATCATTGAAATTCTATACAATTACGAGTGTAACATTTATTTAAATTGACTTTCACATATAATTAAAAGTGAAAATTCATTATGGTTTTATAATTTAACTCAATTATCAATAATGGTAATATGATATTACTGATTATATAATAATTTTACAAAATAATTTGAATTTCTAAGTTTTTTTTAGATAGTGCTTGTTTAGATTTTATATATTATTTTCAATGTGTAAAAAATTAATTAACTTGGCATGAAATGTAAATGAAAATAAAATTTCCACAAACCGAATACTTAATACTCTTCAAATGTATAAGGTTAAAAGTACAACGATATCTGTTTGGAATTCCAGCCACCAGTTTCTTTCAATACTTTTATCAGCTGTACTCTTGTCGAATACGTCCACGGAGGTGAATTCGTGTTTTTTCCATGGAAGATTTGCTGAGAAGGCCTGAATCTCAGTCACTGTTAATGTGGCAAGGATCCATTCAAGGTGTAGTTGAAAGGGTGAGTGCATCTTCTTGAGGACTCCATTGCAATCAATTTTATGTAGTGTAATTAGCAATATAATTAACACTTCCTGTTTTCTGATGACTTGGATGGCGGTGAGGACAGCGCGTTGAATTAACTGCCATTTTTTTTTCACTGGGAAATCGCCCGCCATGCAGCGGTTCTGCAAATGAATCAGGGTTTCCGGCCGTCGCCATGCGTGACAGATGGCACAGGCAGGGGAAACCCTTCTTCCTAGTTTTCCGCCAGTTGCTTTAGGGTCCACATTGCTACTAATAGAGCAGCTGTTGTACCATGTTAAGTAGTAATAAATGGCACTTCCTTGTGGTTGTCGATCCAATGGGTTCCTTGTAGGTCATAGCTGTCCTCATAAACTTGTATCTGCAAATGGCGATGTCGATGGATCCAGATTAACGCGTCAACATTTTTTCTTCTTTTTGAAATTGGCACCAATGTGCTTGATGTCATTAAGACGATTACATTATCTCTTCAGTTGAGGGCTGTGATGACCAACAATTGCTTGGGTTGGACTCGAGTACTGTTCGTCATGTAGTGGTGTATGTTGCAATTTCTGTGGGTGGTGCACTTGTAAGTGGAGTGGGGCCCTAAACCAGTTAGACCATAGTGGTTGCTCTTCCTTGAAACGTTTTCTCTCCGTGACTGACAATGCTTAAGTCTGGTTACAGAATGCTGCTGTTGCCAATACGTGCATATGGTAGTCCCTTGGCGTCCTCGTTGGCCTTGGAAAGTCGTTGCAACAGGTGATTGGTACGTTCTCATTGATCCTTTTGTGGATGGTTGTGTCTGGGTACGGCTTTCCATTGAAGCAACTCGTTTTTTTATTTTTTGTAACGCTCTCACTCTTGTTATTATAAACGTTTTCTAATTACTCGAACTTGGGATAGGTGTTGGACTCGCCTAGTGATTTTTTCCATTGTTCTCTTGCACGCTGAGCGAGTCTGCGTTAGTTGATGGACTGTTATGCAATCCCATGAGTTGCTTTCCAGTTCTAGTTGTTGCAACCCTTTTAGTGGTCTTTGCGTCACGAATGAGGTCTTCTTGCGATTGAGCCTCATCTTCTACTCATGATGTGTTGACAAAGAGTTGATCCAGGTGGAATTGGACGTACAATCGCGAATTTTTATACCTCTCGGCTCTAGGCTCTTGGCTTTTGAATTCTTCTGTTTTCCAAATACAGGGATGATTATTGTTGATGAAGTTATAGATGAACCCTTGTTATTCTTGGTGATTGAAACGTGGCGAACTTCGTTTGGAGGTAGGAGGTTGTAAAGCTCTCGCCTCTTCGAGTAGTGCCACGTGAGGAAGCTGTGACTGCGTCGTGCTCTTAGGCACAAGCAGCTTCAGTTTACATGTTAGACTCAACCGGCATGGAATTGAAGGGGTGACGCAGACTTCTCGCGTCGCAGGACTAAAACCTCCATGGGCCCGTACTGGCTGCTGGAGATACCGTGTAACCTGGAGGAAGGAGAGTCGTAGACGATACTGATGCACTTTGTTACTTGCGAAGTTACCGATTAGGCTTTATTTGGATTCAGTTGAGGGGCCTTGTCACTTTCTTGGTGCCATGATTCATTTAAACTAGGCTTCTTCCTTATTAAATACCTTGTGAAGCTCATTTTCGTGCGCCTTGGCCTTCTTCTAAGGAGATATTTCAAATAGGACTTTGGAAGTTCTCCCCCTATCTTCTTAATTGCTATGATGCGGTTCCATTGCCCTTGAGCTTTCAACGTGAGCACGCTGGACAATCATACTGCGGTGGCGAAACCAGTCATGCGGTTTTCTGCTTCTGTGAATGAATATGAGTCTGAGAGTTCCTCTAACGTGACGTCAAGGTGAGGTGCAGCATATTTTTCTGCAAGGCTCTGTGTTACGGATTAAAAACTTGAAAGTCGAAAGTGGGAGAGGTACGAATGCGCAATTCAGTTATTTAAACAAAACACTAGCAACGAACGTTCCAGGCTATGACCTGTTGACGTCACGACCAATATCGTCATGGTAACAAACATCGGCGTTTAAGAAATAGTGCGATAATATTTAAGGGCTGCGCTTCACGCGCAGCAATTTAGTTTGCCTCAGTCTAGTAACAATTACACAATCATTACAACAAACACACTATACATTATCAATCCATCTATAGTGATCACAGTTTAACGGTATATATACATAATAATCAATCAAGTGAATAATTTAAGAAAGAAATAGTGACATTATATTCTAAAATACATTTTAAACTAAAATTAAATTAATAACGTATTAGTGTTAAGATAAAACAACAGTTAACACATAAAAATCATATTGAAGCAACTCATAGATAAGACCGACGTACAGATAGGCGCAACACAAACATCAACAATTTAATGTATGCTAAGATAGTATTTATTCATTATACAACAAAAAGGAAATACATTCATCAAAACGTAACAATATAAAAGAAACTTTATATATTTAATCTGTCATACCATTATTTATATACTTCATAATTATTAATTATTTATTATTTTTAAATTATATTTAATTATATTTAATAAAAGGAACAATAATAAACATTACAAGTAGTCTTGAATAATTGCACTGCCTCTTCCACTTGCCAGCAATACCTCTACCCAATATCTAAAGAAGGTTTTTCAGTCTGATCCCAGACACTTTGTAAAATTTGAATGCTATTAGACTGTCTTGTTATTTTCATCGTGAATTCAGTAATTAACTGTGGAGATGATGCGCTGCGAAAAGTTCCGGCCCTTGCTGATTTGGTAGCCTTGGGGGTCTTGATGCCCTTGACATCCATTGTGGCTTCTTTGATATCTTATTTATTGTTAGGAATTGACGAAGGGGGAGGTCGAAAATCTCCCGTTGAAAATCGATTGTTCGGCGATTCGTGGTGTAAGACCACGTGTTGTCTAGGATGTACTGCTTTCCACTGTGCCCGGCAGACCAGATATTTACAGGTCCGGCTCATTTCCTTGAATCTGCTATCCAGCGATGAGGCTATCCGGCTGGAAGGACCAAATGTTCGAGAATTGAGGTTTGTTTTGTGGCTCGAACTGCCAATTCAATAGTTCAGTGGATTAATCTCTCGCCGTAGCGATTAGAAGGAAAAAAACAATTAGAAGGGCTGAAAACATGGATAATGAATATTCTTGAATTATAACATTGTTTATTTTGGTTTATTAATAATTATAATATTGCAGTTTTATGGTTACTTTAAGTGAGAAAGGGAATAATTCTATTGTTGTGGTGACATGGCTTCTTCGAAGTGATGGCGATGTCGTTGATACTATGGAGATCAGTGTGAATGTTCAATGTTGAGTATATATTGATGTTGTAAAGATTAGTATGATTAGTCGACCATGCTCATCAATGAGCATGGGAAGATGGTAATGGTAATCAGTAATGCTTAGTAGGGAGAGTAAACCATACTCAAAGGGAGAAAATACTGTAGTCTCTGT